TCTCCCCCTCTCTCTCTCTCTCTCTCTCTCTCTCTCTCTCTCTCTCTCTCTCTCTTTCGTTGTATTCCTGTTGGCTTGCACTTGTCATTCTTGAACATTCTTTGGGTCATTTGGACAACATCATTTATAATAAGATTTTCATGCCGGACGGCCAGCTCAAAAACAGCGCTGGCAATGGCAACGACAACGGCAACGGCAACGGCGACGCCAACTGCGACAGCGACTGCGGCAGTGGGAAGTGGCGTCGACCGCTTAACGAAGCGCTGCTGTCGTCGACAATGCTGCCAGCGTCGCTTAGCTTTTGTTATTGTTATTGCATTTCTTTTTGCACTTTTTTAATGAAGCTTCTGCTGCCGCCGACAATAGACCGTGGGACGAACACATCGAAAACTTGAATGGAATTCATATATTATGTTCAAGAAAATTGAAATCGATACAAATTATTAAAAAATGCAATTAAATTCGAAACTAAAATTAAATGAATTACGAATTCAAATTAAATATATATAAATATATAAAAAATAAATAAATAAAAATATATATACCTTAAAAAAATGTTAAAAATAAAGTCCAAATAAATAAATAAGCATTAATAAAGTAGTTGTATTAAATTGAACTGAATTATGTAATTGAAATTTAGAAACTAATAATAAATTAATTTAAATCAAATAAAATTAAATAATAATGACAACTCAATTTAGCTATCAACAAAACTAAATTTAAAAAAAAAAAAAAGAAAAAAAAAAACAGTGACCCATAGTTACAAAAGTTAAATTATTAAATGTTAAAATTAATTTATTTTTATTGTATATCAAATTTTGTTCATTTTTGTACTTATAATTTGCCTTAAACAAACTTAAATATAAATAGAAAAAAAATCAGCATAAAGAAGTAATTATTGGTGAATGAATTTGATAACATTATTTAAATTTAATTGATCAGCGTCATACTTTTAGTATTATTAAAATTCTAAATTTTTTGTAATATTTAAATTTTGTTGACTTTAAACTATTATCTTCCATTATCAAAATATTTCAACTTGATTATCAACTCAGTTCTTTGCAAGTAGAACATTGTTTTGGTACCACTGTGCGACGTCGCTACCAGCAGACCGCGTCGCTTAGCATCTTTCTTTTTATTGTTATTGCATTTCTCAGTGAATGTTGTGGTTGTTGTTGTTGTTGATGTTGTTGTTGTTGCTGCTGCAGTATTGCCTCCGTTGTTGTCATATGCCATAAAATATATTTTATGTAGAAAATTATTTTTAAACTCAAGTTTTGTGCCAATTTAGGTAGGTGCACACATTTCTTATTCTTGTGTGTGTGTGTGAGTGTGTGTGTTTATGAATAACGTTCTTAACTTTGCATTCACATGTGCAGACATACATATACACACACATAAATAACTGTATCTGGTTCGATTCACATAGTACACATTGAATTGGAGCCAATGCTGGGGCAGCATCTGTTACACATAATATTTGTGCATACAAATTCAATTTTCAGCACAAGCAAAACACACAAAATGCGCCTTTAATGTGCAATTTGTCAAAACTTATTTGATTTATGAGCCGCACAACAACAACAATAGCAACAGCAACAACAATAGCAATAACAACAACAACAGTCGCCAAAACTGTCAAACAAACCAGGAACAACAACAGGAACATGTTTAACAAACTTGCGCCCCGTCCAAATTCAACGTGCCATGGCAGGTTCCCCGTGGTGCAGCCGCTGCCCGAACCCTGGCCACGCCCACTGGGCAGCCGTGCTCCCCTGCTAATCGTTCAAAGCGAACTTTAAAGCACAACAAATTGAAACCTCACCCACAAAAATTGCTCATGTTTACGGCCACAACGATGGGATTTTCGATTTTTCCCGATTTTTTGTCGTCTCTTTTTCCCGGAGGGGGGAAGGCTCAAAACCGCTGACAATTTTCTCGCCGTGGCCATTTGGCTCTCTAGACTGTGTGTGTGTGTGTGTTTCTCTTTTCTATTTTTTGTTTTTGGTGCTGGGCAGTCACACGATTTTTGCTTAATCTAATTTGAAGCTCTGCTGCCGGGCACTCGCATCGTGCGACCGCTGAAGACTTGTCACAGCTGCCCTCGACGGCCCTCAAAGTCCCAAACATGAAAATCATTGAACACTTAATTCCATTTACATATTTCCATTTAATTGAAATTAAATTCAATTAAATTTCAGCCAAAGTCTCGACACTCGTTACAGTTTCCAGCAAATGCTATTGAATGTAAGAGGTCTAGCGAAAAGATATATATGTATATATATAAAGATGTTGAGCTACTAATAAAAGTGAAAGACTATTTTAAATGGATACACATATGTCAGCTGTTGTTAGAGGTATCTAAGTATATGTATATGTATATGTATATGTAAGTGCTGAAATAATTGTTAAATATTGATTTATCTTATCTTAGATTTACCACATCTGATAAGCTATTATATATGAGGATATATTAGCTGTACTCTTGAAAGTCTAACAGAATAATAGAGGAAGCCCAGTTAATCATATATAATTGCTGAAATTTATTATGAAGTATATCATTTGGCTGACATTCGCTATAGATATTCAACTCTCTTATATTGTCATTGTCAAATAATAATTCAGAATGATATGAACATGAGATATTTATTTAATATATTTTATTGTTTAAATAATGATGAGAGAGTTTGCCTCTTGTGTTACTTTTAAAGTATATATAAGCATCTTGATAAAGTTGCTTGCGCAATTGTCATTAAGGAACTTGAGTTGCGCCTGACGGAAGTCGTTTATAATGGCCTCATGACAGGGGTGAGTAGGAGGAAAGTCTCTTATAGAAGTGACATTGTTGTGGATATGAAACATCGGAAATACTCAATGCTTAATAAAATAAATAATTAAATAAAAAAAAAAATGAAATAAATTAAATT